TTTTTTTTTGCCACTTACCATGTCACAGTCTACTCAAGGGATACAATTTTCACACACCCGTCAGCTGTCCCCATCTTTGCTACCTCTGGGTGTGTGAGGGGGCCCTGTGGTTCTGTCATACAATGGAGCCTTCAGGAATGTCCCATGGCACACGAGCAGCAGCGCCCAGGGACAGGCCAACTTGGTGAACACAATGAAGCCTACCACCAACTTGGCCTGGGCAGGCCTTGGCTAGGCCCCCAGGAAGCTCAGTGCTTTGGAATCTACCTGCCTGACTCCAGCTAGACAGAGGCACCCCCCTAATCCACAGGTCACTGGAAGTATGATTCACAGACGCCTCACCCCACATTCCAGCCACAATAGTCCCAACCCCCTGCAGGGGAGAAACTGTAGAAGGTCCCAGAGGCCAGGGAGACCACAAAGCAAGCTTCCCTCCAGGGACACGCGCCCGGCAGGCGCTGCTCCCCCCACCTTGACCCTTGATCCGCCTGATCACACAGCCCCGGGGCAAAGGCTGTGGAGAGTACCTCCTCCCTGACCCCCCACCACTAGTTTTCTCTACATCTCATTCTTAACAGCCCCTAACAGTTCCCATCCATCCTTGCTTTTCCCACGCCGCTGGTTTTGCCTAAAATGAATGACAATTCAGTTGATTACTAACCTCATCAGGCCAGGGTGGGTGAGAGAGAGAAAATGGCCTCAGAAAAAGTAACTCTGGGCGATGATGACAGCAGCAGCACCACCACCAAGGGCACACTCATCACTCCATTCCTCCAACTACTGCCCAAGCATCACAGCCACAGCCACAGCCACAGCTAGAAGGAAGAGGCAGCACACAGCTGTCACCTGGGAGGCTGTAACACACGCACACGCACACGCACACGCACGTGTGCGCGCCCTGGGGCCAGCAGACGCCCGGGCAGAGGGCAGCATCCTACCGAACAGGCCGTGGGGCTCTGACCGCCGCCTCGCGGTGCTGCGGTTTGGGTCCTTGTGCTTCTTGTTTCCCCTGAGGCTGCCAAACCGCTTCATGAGGAGCCGTGGCCACAGGAGCGGCGCAGGTGAACATAGCAGGATGCACGGAACCGGTGTCAGCCGCAGGTGGCCGCGGGCTGGGAGACGCACCGCATCGGCCGGCAGCCTCGGCCACAGCCCGGGAGTCCAGGCGTCCGCCCCGTGGCCTCGTGCTACGGCAGGATGGGTCGCCCCCGGGGCCAGCAGCCACGGGACACGCAGCGGTGCCTCCTCCCACGGAGCGTCCTCCCGGTCTGCACCTCCGGCCGCTGCAGTGGGAGCAGCCGCTGCCCTTAAGTAGGCAAGAGGCTGCCGGAAGCACAGGCAGAGCCTTGCTGTGGGTTTGTTTATGCAGCTAAGGTCAGCCGCGCACTCAGACTCTCAGGGCTCTTCCCTCCTTACAATTAAAAAGGGAGGGAAGACTAGCTAGGCAAACGGAGCGCAGGCCTGCCAGTCATGTGCGGATCTGCAGATGTCTCTTTAAAAAGACTGTATAAGGAAACCACCCTGTCCAGACAATTCTTGGCACCAATTGGCCAGAGCACATTCCCATCTTGACATGACATCACACAACTATTTTGATTCATGTGTTCCAGGGCTCGGCGGGGTCAGGAGGCTCCGGCTGCTTCTTTGTGGAGAAGCCACAAGTCCCTGGGCTGGAAACCCCAGGATCTATTTCAGCTCCTGCCTCTTTGAGATGAAAGAAGAAGCAAGTCCACCTTTAAGGAGGGGACATGGGGGCCCCTGGAATTCAATGCAAGGGTCTTGAGCAAGTGTCCAATTTGAGTCCTGGACCTGCTAAGAAATGCAGAATGACAGAACTCAAAGAGATTTTAGAGAAGGTCTAGCCCAACCCTCTTCCATGAGATGGGGAAACTGAGGCTCAGGCAGGGGAGTGACTTGCCCAAAGTCCTGTAACGAGTGGCAGAACCAGGACCAGAATTCTAATCTCTTTGGCTCCTCAGCCAAACACCTGATCTAATAAAACAGAACAAAAAACTTTTAGTCTGTATGTGTTTTGCAACTAAAAACCAAACTTTAAAAACACAAGATAGGGGAAATTCTTTCCATTTCATTCGCTGATATCTTCACTAAAGGGAAGTTGCAAGATCTGCTATTAACTAAGCTTTGTGACCTTGAGAAAGTGACTTCTGGTCTCTGGGCCCCAGTTTCCCCCACTAAACCGAGACAAGACTTGCTCATGTTAGAAGTTAGTCTGCTTCCAGAAGGCTGAACCTCTCATGGCTGTTTGCCATGGCTTTTCCTGCCTGGTGGGACTGATGGAGACACAGTGACCAAATCTTTGTAGCAAGGACACAGGAACGAACGAAATAGGTCTTCCCCTCGAGGAATTTGGAAACAACTTGGAGAGATAAAGGTAAATTTACATACATGTTATAATACTAACTTCATAAAACAGCTATGTGTGATCAATGGCAAGTGGCCAGAATGGACAAGTATCATCAGCACAAATGGATGGAGAGGTGACCACATGGCCCTGCTTGGAAAGGAAAGCTTGAGTTGGCCTTGAGGGTTTGGAGGGTTCAGAGAAAAAGAGAGAGGCCTGGCCAACACTGCACCCGTAGGAGAACCTAGTTTTCCAAAACAAGTCACAAAACCCACCTCCAGTTGGGTCCTGCAATAGACTGGTGGATTGTATCTATGTTAAATACGGTAGCCC